ATTTTGAAGGCTTTTAACCTTTAATAGAAATGTAATCCATTCATCCACTGCGAAGTGCTGGTTTGCAGTTTTGTTTGTGCATGGGATGAGGGTGGGCTGCCCATTGTGGGCTTGGGGCCAGGGGCTGTGCCGGCCTCTTCCCAGCAGGGGCGGAGCTGGGTTGGGGCTGCACTCAGGATGGCAGTGGTGCTGGGAGGGGGGGCTATGGGGTGGGTTATAGCCCCTCTCCCAGCACCACTGTCCACTCTGCCCCTGCCCACCTAGAGCACAGCCCCAACCCCGCTGCCAGGAAGAGGCCAGCACAGCCCCTGGCCCCTAGCCCACAGTGGGCAGCTTGCCTTCACCCCACGCACAAATGCAGGGGCCACATGCCCCCATGCCTCCCCTGGGGGTGCACACAGCCACCAGGAGCTGCCTCCCACCCGTACCCCTCTGCACCCTCCGGGATAAGCTACCTGTGGCTCCATCCCCCTCCCTGCCCTGGCCCAGCTGGGCAGTGCCTGCCCCTTCCCCAGCCCCAACCCCACTCCCTCGCTCACCATGGAGGCCTTGATCTGCCCTTCCCCCCCAGACTTCTTGGCAGGAGACTGCTCTCCAAGCTGCTGGGCTGCATTCCTGGCTGCGTGCATGCTGCAGCCGTGCAATGCATGTGGCATTTATTGGTGACATTATTGGCTACATCTGCCAAAAAAAAGCTGATTGCTGATTAATGCCAACTTTCCTTTTATCACTGTCAGTATGATATGGACTGATATATCAGTGCATCTCTAATTAGTAGCTGTTTTTTCCAAACACAAGAAATGGTTAAACCTAAACAAAGTGCTGAAGCTTGATCATTTCCAGTCAAGGGTTAGAGCACAGGTAAATGGGAAGACAGCATCTAAGAATGTGTGCCCCATGGATTTATGGGAAAGAATTTGAGACAGTCTGGATTATTGTGGATGCATCTGCCTGAATGCCTTTACTACATTAAACTCATAGTAGCAGCAAGCATTAGAGGCTACCATGGGATCTGCCCTACAGTCAGTGTGGTGGCTGCCTTACCATGTGATACTGAGTGGTATGTAGATGTATGAATTTGTACTGTGATACGGGAAAAACTAAGGTTGAGCCTGAGTGTGAGAAGGCAGATGGTGTACCTGTCCCTTTGAGAGGGCAAGCAGCCTGAGAGGCAGCTTGCAGGTGGTGAGAGGGACTGCTTAGGGGCTCACTTGACTGGAAGAAGGCCAGGCTTGTGCCATATAATCCCTGAGCTGGAGCCAGACAGGCACTCCAGCCTTGAAAGCCATGAGGAGCTCCTGGCTGCAGAGCACAGGATTCCTGAATTGACAGTAGAACTGGAAGGAAGCAACTTTGCAGGCCTGGGAACAAAGGAGAGTTGTGTGGAGCAGAGAGGCTCATTGGTGCTGACAGATAACCTTTATTTCATGTTAAACCCAGCAAGGATTTGGGTGTCTGCCAGAGGGCTGAGACGGTTTTGATTTAAGTTCCACCAGTGGTTTAGCTTCAAGACCTGCTGAGGGCTGGGTCAAGACCTACTCAGAGAGCTGGTGGCCCAGATATGGGCTAATAGCAGGACCAGAGGGTCTACAAGCTTAACAGAGTGGCTATAGCCAGAAGCTGCCAGGGCCAAGGTGCCTGGTGATCTCAACTAGCAGAGTCAGATGTTCAGGAGGGGCCACTGCTGGAAACCAAGTCCAGGGGGCAAGTTTGGCCAGGGAGCCTGGAGGTCTCAACTGGCCTGAGAGTGGGGCCAGGAGAGGCTAAAGGTTCAGGAGAGACCAGTCAGGGACTGCCAGAGCAGGGGAGCCTGGAGACCTCAACTGGCCCAGGAGTGGAGCCAGGCCCTAGGAGGGACCAAAGGTCCAAGAAGGACCACCACCAGAAACTGATATGGTTAGGGACCCCAATACCATGGGCCTGGGCTAAAAGGCACAGTGAGAGCAGGGGGAGGAGGTTCCTACACAGTGAAGGATGATACAGGAACTGTGAGGCATGGGGTGTGGTGTAGGGAAGGGTGGAGCTGCACACTTAGCGCCTGGGCTACAGGTGCCCTGTAGGGGCACAGAAACAACTAGCCCTTAAGGTTACAGGCACTGCGCGGGGGCACGGACAGGTCAAGAGGGCATATTGAACTTAAGGGCTGAAGCGAGATGGGTGCAGTCCAGGACAGACTAGAATGGACTACAGCTCACCCTCAGGCCTGTGGGTAGCCTCCCTTACCCAACCTTCTTTAAGAACAAGATGGGGCACATGGGCAATCAGGGGAGGGGTACATTAGAGACAGAGCCATGCAGGAGCCACACAGCCACCAGGGGACATCACAGCCCCTGCAACACTGAGGTTAGCGCTCTGTGAAGACAAAGCCAGTGTCTTTTCTCAAGATGCATCAGGATTACCAATAGGAAGAAAAAGAAGAATGACTGAACAGATTGAACAACTCAAAAGCCTATTGGTAAATATCTAGTAACCACAAAAGTTGATTATTTAACCACATAGGCACAGTCTAAGTCAGGGGTGGGCAAAATGCGACCCGTGGGCCAGATGCAACCCTCCAGGCCATTCTATCTGGCCCACAGGGCCCCTAAAAAATTTAGAAAATTAATATTTATCTGCCCCTGGCTGCCTGTCATGTGGCCCTAGATGGCTTGCCAAAACTCAATAAGTGGCCCGCCACCCAAAATAATTGCCCGCCCCTTGTCTAAGTGGTGATCTGAAAGCTGCATACAGCTCGCAAGGGATTTAATTACTGCCTGCACAGCTGCTAGAACCACTGAATTGATGCAGCTCCAGAACCCAAGGGTTGGACTCTGCTGCTACTTGTCCCCCTATCCTCTTGCCCACCACTGAATTCAGGGTCTTCAGCCACCACTGGAGCCTCTAATCAGCAACTGAAGAAGAAGATTGGGGTGAGTGGTGGCAGTGTTCACCCTGGGTTCTGGAGCTGCAACAACACAGCACCATTGGCAACCACACCAGTAAACCACCACCCTACCACCAGATGCAAGTCATCCAGCCCACAAGAAGCCCTATGGGCTGAATCCAAACCACAGGGCCAAATAAGCTGGACAGCCCTCACATGGAGCATAATTTTGAGACCACTTGCCTAAATCAGGTGGAATTCTATAAAGTCAGTAAAGTTATACTAGAACGAAAGTTGCGTGAGTAGAACTGATATCAGACCTTGAATATTTAACTACATAATTTGTAATATTTTGCAAACACTGTTAATGTTATACAGGCATACCTCGGAGATATTGCGGGTTCGGTTCCAGACCACCGCAATAAAGCGAATATTGCAATAAAGCGTGTCACACGAATTTTTTGGTTTCCCAGTGCATATAAAAGTTATGTTTACACTATACTGTAGTCTATTAAGTGTGCAATAGCATTATGTCTAAAAAAACAATGTACATACCTTAATTAAAAAATACTTTATTGCTAAAAAATGCTAACCATCATCTGAGCCTTCAGCGAGTCGTAATCTTTTTGCTGGTGGAGGGTCTTGCCTCGATGTTGATGGCTGCTGACTGATCAGGGTGGTGGTTGCTGAAGGTTGGGGTGGCTGTGGCAATTTCTTAAAATAAGACAACAATGAAGTTTGCCGCATCGATTGACTCTTCCTTTCACGAAAGATTTCTCTGTAGCATGCGATGCTGTTTGATAGCATTTTACCCACAGTAGAACTTCTTTCAAAATTGGAGTCAATCCTCTCAAACCCTGCCGCTGCTTCATCAACTAAGTTTATGTAATATTCTAAATCCTTTGTTGTCATTTCAACAATGTTCACAGCATCTTCACCAGGAGTAGATTCCATCTCAAGAAACCACTTTCTTTGCTCATCCATAAGAAGCAACTCCTCATCCGTTAAAGTTTTATCATGAGATTGCAGCAATTCAGTCACATCTTCAGGCTCCACTTCTAATTCTAGTTCTCTTGCTATTTCCACCACATCTGCAGTTACTTCCTCCACTGAAGTCTTGAACCCCTCAAAGTCATCCATGAGGGTTGGAATCAACTTCTTCCAAACTCCTGTTAATGTTGATATTTTGACCTCCTCCCATGAATCACGAATGTTCTTAATGGCATCTAGAATGGTGAATCCTTTCCAGAAAGTTTTCAATTTACTTTGCCCAGATCCATCAGAGGAATCACTATCTATGGCAGCTATAGCCTTACGAAATGTATTTCTTAAATAATAAGACTTGAAAGTCGAAATTACTCCTTGATCCATGGGCTGCAGAATGGATGTTGTGTTAGCAGGCATGAAAACAACATTAATCTCGTTGTACATCTCCATCAGAGCTCTTGGGTGACCAGGTGCATTGTCAATGAGCAGTAATATTTTGAAAGGAATCTTTTTTTCTGAGCAGTAGGTCTCAACAGTGGGCTTAAAATATTCAGTAAACCATGTTGTAAACAGATGTGCTGTCATCCAGGCTTTGTTGTTCCATTTATAGAGCACCGGCAGAGTAGATGGCGTCGATTAAGTCTATGGCGCCGATAGACTTGTTCGATGTAGGGTTGCCACAAACCTTCAATTTGTAAAAAACGCAATATCTGCGAAGTGCAATAAAATGAGGTATGCCTGTGTAACTAGCAAAATGACTGTTCTCCAAAAGAACAGTAACTTCATTGATATTTTTACATATGTCATTCATTATCTGAAATCTGGGCAGCTAGCTGACTGATTGATCATTCTTGGGAGAGCAGACTGAAACATGGGAGATAAACTGTACCTACAAAAATGAACATATAAAAGATGGGCATGGATACCCCCTGTTCTTTCACATGTGGGCCCACCTTAGGTGCTGATGTTTTTATCCATAAAAGCATATCCACACCAAAAATATTGATTCAAGCACAGAGATACAGAACTTTAGCAAGAGAATGCATAAAACATAAACTCATTCATAAAAGAGGGCCACTATAAAGTATCAACAGACTCAAGCGTTAAAGTATATTTTGCGCCTGAAATAATTATAAATTCTATTATGCAGGTGGGAACTACAAATATAAATCACATGCTAACACCAACAGGCAAAGTTTATGCTGAGTTAACAGTCTCTCAGCTATATCCAGGGGAGTTCATGCTTATCACTGGCTCCGGGTCAGAACTCCATGATCTGAGGTAAGTCCATTTTTTTTTATATGCTATATACTCTTAGACAGTCATATCAGAAATACAAGATCTCACCAAAAAGCCCTTGCTTTTCATGTACAACCCCACTCAAGTTTTTACACTATGGGCATGGGTACGTAATCAGGTTCCATGAAGTAAGAAAAGGCAGGGATTTACTGTGCATCAGCTACTGTGTGAAAATTGCTCATGAGCACATTGCCACTCCATAGTAAACAAAAGCAAACTTGTGGTCATTTTTCCTCTTTCACTGTGAGCTAAGCTGAGGGGGAGGGGGAAGCATGTATTCAGGCAATTACTAAAGAACAGGCAATTCACTGTAAATCGCTGTCCTTGCTTACCTTGCGGTAGCTTGTTTGTGTAGCTGTCCTAACAAGCAAAGCCTGAAGCCCTTACTCAATAATTACTCAGGCAATACTTTGAAGTTCATATGAGTCCAGCCTTTCTAAGGACACTAGTACTTGAGCCAAAGTAAATAAGTAGCTACAGCATGCGAACAAATAAACAAAGTTAAGAATTAAAACGGGGCAGCTGCTCCATAGCACCTGCCTACTTGCTCTTTTCTCATGATAAATGAAAGCTAAATTGCAGCTATTTACCCCTCCCTTGGGTTAGTTTTAATTTCCTGTAGGGCAGATGGACAGTTGCTTTCCATGCTAAGTGTCTAGCCACTTACACCTTACTGTACTTTGTTTTTTTCTTCATACACATAGGTGCAATCTTTGATATCATAGGGGTCTGCATTTTAGTCTTTTTAGTTCAGTTGAACCCTGAAATATAAGCAGTTGTATAGGGGAATTAAAGTAGAGGTGTAGCTAACTGTCCAGCAATCCTGTACTATTTAATATAAGTAGATGTTGATTACCTGTTTGTATTGTTTGCCTTATTCTGAATTGTATGTTGACAGACAATGGGTTTATTCTTTTGAGTATTTTGGCTTGTACAAAAAATAAAATGGCACAAAGAATTAGTGACCTTTAAGGCCAATACTACTGGTGCTACTTGTTCATTTGTTCAGATTCCGATACTACTAGTTCTGTCTTCTTGATATTAGGGCAGTGCTATATGCTTCCTTGGTACTGAAAGAAAGAACATTCAAGGAGAAAAAAAGGCAGAAATACATTGCAAGAGTGTATTAAACTGATTCTTTCAATATGTGCATTACAAACAAAGTCAGTTGCATTAATTCCGGCTAAACACACATAACAAAAGAGGGATCTCTGCTGGGAAAGAAAATGTGCAATTCACTGAAAATTAATCCCTAAAAATAGTTAAAGAATGGAGCACTTAAATTTGATGCCTTCACCCAAAGTGAATAGTGTCTTTTTGTGTAAGCAGCTCAACTGGAATCAGTGAGAATACTTTTACATTTAGGTACTGAAGTAGAGTACAACCAGCCCCAACATACTTATTGCTGAAAAAATTCAAGAGCCTTGTATGGTCCCCCAGCTATTCCTGAAGATTTTCTAAGAAGGCTTATGAGACACCAGCCTGTAAGATTTTAACTATTACCTATTTTATCCATATTTTGCAAACATCATGAAAAACAATACATGGCTGCTGTTTTTGATTGAACCAAGACATAAATGAAGCATCTCCTAATTCTGTATGAAGTCCTCTGATCACCTCCATCCTTTTCCCCTTTTAAAATCTGTCCTTCTCTAGTTCTACACAAAACTCTTTCTATTGTTGAGCTAATGTTTCCACTACAAACCCCTTTTTCACACCAGTTATTAAAGTGATTCTACAATTTGATCTGGAGAGGCCTCTGGGCCTCAAGACTCCTGGGAAGACCCTCATAGTCAAAAAAAAAAATTCTTTCCTGTTCTGATCTGCAGTATTCATGGATCAGGCAGGAAAGTGTAAAAGTAAAGGGCCCAGAAAATGAAGACCACCTTGACCATCTGCCAAGCACAGCTGTTTCGTGTACCACTGAGGAAAAAGGAGGAGGAGGGGACTGCCTTGAAAACAGGAAGGTATGGGTTGTACTGTTCCAAAGAACAACGTTTATGGTTATTTGGGAACTGTTTGCACCCCAGATAAAGAACTTGATTATAGATCTGGAAGATATCACAGAAAGAAATGCAAAATTGGGATCTCTTAGTAAATTGCTGCTTAGCACAATAGCAGCAGTTGTAGAACTTACTGTCCTAGCTATAGCGGTAGCTAGGGAAAGAACAAGTACAAAAGGCTCAACAAAGTAACAGCAGAGGCAATAAGAAACATGGATGACAGTACATTTGGAGCAGCTTCAAAAGGGGAGGAAGCACTGCTGTTCAAGAACATAAAGCATCTGTTATGCTGTAACTGTTAGGTGTGTACCAATCCATAGTGACATGAGTGTAACAAAGCCATCCCAACTTTAACAGTGATTTGTCCAGGGTCAAAGAAGGGGTGATTAAGCTGATTTATTGCTGCAGGTTCATGTATGTGTAACAATTACAGAGGCTTTGTACACACATTCAGTTTTTCCTGAGAGAGTTGCTGTTCTCCCATGAGAAACGACAAGTGTACAGATGTTCAGGTTTTTTCTCCCAAGGTAAAAATGGCTGCTCCAAGAGAAAAATAACCTGGAAACAAACAGAGTTAAATCCCCCCCCAGGAGAAACTCTCCTGGGACAGAGAATATCTGTACATGCTGTGGTGGGTACGTTTTTCTACCAGGAGAACAAACCTGGGAGATTTCTCTCAGATTATTTGAATGTGTATATACAGCAAAGTAACAGCTGCTTTGTGCTCCTGACTGTCAGCTTCCCTTCCCCTTTTGAAACCACTCCAAGTATATGTTACAATGACTATAAGTCTGCCAGTGACCCCCAGATATTTTACTGTTTGCTTAAGCACACTATTTTCTTCTACACTTCCACAATTTGTTTGGGAAATGCCTGAACAACCACTCTGATCTCTTACATATGCTGCCCTGATTGACCTCAGAGTCAGCCAGGCTGATATGAAGCTGCTCCCCACAGAACAAGTCCTAAATATTTGGCCTTACGATTAATAATAAATAAATAATCAGCAATTGATAGATTAAAGCTTTGTTCTGTCCACTTGGTGGATCCTTGATATCTATAACTTCTAGATCACTGGTCTTTTCTAGAGTTATTGGATACTTAAATAGTAAACTGTTTGGGATAAAGATTTCACTACCTTGTGTGTTCAGCAGCTAGCACAATGAGATACTCTGATCCTTGACTGGGGCTCTGTGCATAGCAATAACAAATAATTTTAATAGGAATTAGCATCGTTGTACTGATCACTTACTTTGCAGGTTAAATATATGTTTTGGGGTTTTGTTGTGGACGCTCCGTCTTTCAAAGTTTTTAAAAGCAAGTTGGACAAAGGCTCATCTAGAACAGCGCAGTCAGGGACTATATGACCTCCTGGAGTCCCTTTTAGCACTGCTTTTCTATTAATCTGATTTGTCCGTGGAAAAAAAAACCTGTGTGTGTGTGTGTGTGTGTGTGTGTGTGTGTGTGTGTACTGCCCACCAGTCCTGCTCCCAGATATATATATCAGGAATAAAAAAGTTAATTAAATTGTTCTTCTCTTGCAGGTGGATAGAAGAGGAGTCAAAGGCAGGTGGATACAATGTTGAAATTAAAAATATTACAGATGAGATGGGAGTACTTGGTGTAGCAGGACCATATGCACGAAAGGTCCTCCAGAAACTGACTACTGAGGACCTTAGTGCTGCTGCATTTAAGTTTCTTCAGGCCAGGCATTTTAAGTTTTCTGACATTGCTGTTACTGCTATTAGGATATCCTATACAGGTAAGAGGTAGGCAAAACACATGGTCAGGATTAATGGCAACTGGGAAACTGACTAGTGTGACTAAAATTATACTGCAAAAGGAATATAATAAGCAGTTGATTTATCAAATTCTATATAAGAGAAACCCTTGTACACTGATTTTTCAAACATTTTCTAGTCAGCTACCATGAAATATTGAGAAGATTGCCCACAAATAAAATGCCCCTAAAGTGTAAATATTTTTTCTTAACAGAACAAAGGCCTATTCTGATAACCTTTTTGGTTGGTGGAAATGTCAAGATTTTTTTTGGTTTACCAATAACTTAGTGTCTGTAAAATGCCGTGAAAAAGTAAACATAGTTGATAAGCATTTTGGTTTTTTCCCCTCCTCTTTCTCTTGGTATAGACAAGGGGTGGGCAAAATATGGCCCACAAGCCAGATCCAGCCCACCAAGGGATTTTGTCCAGCCTGCAGCAGGCCCCTTGCCCTGCCTGACCCATGCCATGGCATGCGTGGCTGGTCCCACCACACCCGGGTACTCAGCAGAACTGGGTTGGAACAGCTGCTGTACTTGCTTCCTGGCAGCCCCTCCAGTGGCGGCTTGTTCCATCTGCTGCTGCCAGTCTCCACCTCCAGTGGACCTGGCTTTGGTGCCTAGGCACTCCAGTTCATCTGCTCTCACCCACTGTTGGAGGTGTTGGATGGAGTGGACAGGCGGGGTCTCCAGAACCTGTGCGGACTGGGAACATGGCGGGGTTGATGCTATGGGGCTGTGGGCGGGTGGGGAGTGTAATCTGGGAGCAGGACAGGTGGGGGGGGCCAGGGTTGGGATCATGATTGGGATTGCGGGGTGATGACAGCATGGGGCTAGGGCCCAGGACGGAGCCATGATCTGCTGCCTGCATGTCCCGGTGATGAGTGATGGTTCTGTGGGCAAGGGTATGTGGGGACTAAATCGCAGCTCTGCCATGGGCCCCAGTCCCAGGCTGTCATCACTCATGATCCCAATCCCAGCCCTGGCTCTGGCCCTGCCCACCAGTCCTGATCCCAGATGCTACTCCCAGCCTGCCCACAGCTCCATCCCATCTGCATGGCTGAACATGGGACAGAGCCACTTAGGGAGTTTTTAAAAGCAAGTTGTGAGCTGACAGGTAGGGGATGCTGACCCAGCCCATGACAGCTCACCGAAACTCCCTAAGTGGCCCTGAGGCCCAAATAATTGCCCACCCCTGGTATAGGCAGATGTTTATAATTATACTGATATCAGATGGTACTAGTATAAAATGTTATGATGTAACTCTTACAACTGCATGTTACTGTTGATACAGGATTAAAGTTGCAGCAATTTAGTTCATGTATCACTGTAGGAACATACAGAAGTAACAGTTGAGCACATATTACCGTAATGTGCAGTACTTTTATATTTCCTTACATAGATCCATTACATTTATAATTTTCTAATTTATAAATTTGTGTGTTTTTTCCAACTTTTATAATTTGTGTCCCCCTTATATTTTCTCCTAATCTCTCTCATTTCCCCAAAGTTTTTTTTTCAAATTAAAGTACAGTAATACTGCCAGTGCTCTAAGACACTTCCTTCAGGAGCTTCTGCTGGAAATGAGAATATATGTACTGTGTCTTATTATTGGATTCAGTATAATAAGATAATTATTCAGCTCTGTCTAGGGCTAAAAATAGTAGGATTGTTTACCACAGACTTGACTTTTTTATTTTTTATCACAGGTGAACTGGGTTGGGAGCTCTACCATAAAAAAGAAGATTCTGCAGCTCTTTACAATGCTATAATGGAAGCAGGACAGGAAGAAGGAATTGACAATTTTGGAACTTACGCCATGAATGTCTTACGGCTGGAAAAGGCTTTCCGGGCTTGGGGGGCAGAGGTCTGAAACCAAATCAATCTCATTGTTCTATTTGTTTGTTTTTGTTTTGTCTTAAACAGATACTAGTCAGAGCACAAAGAGTTAATATTTGTTCCAGTTTCTCAATCTGGAATGAAGAGAAATTAGAAAAAAAAATCTACCCTAATGATGACCTGTACCTTTTATTAGGTAAAAATAGCTAGTGTATTCCATTATATTTTTGGCAAAGATAATCTAGTCAATTTACTGCTAGTTTTCCCTTCTTAGCATAATAAAATAATGAAGTTGTGCATTCTGGCATCTGGAAATCACAGTGACAAGCTTGTCTGGAATTTTATATAGAAGAGGTTTTTAAGATGTTTCGTTTGTGCAGTAATTGTGTCATGAGCGGAATATCATTCTCAGCTGATAAGATTTTTGAAACTTCCTCATTTCCCACCAGACTAATATGGATTAAAGAATTTGACAGAAACAAAGAACCAGTCCAGCAGCAAAGGGTGGACTCCTAAAGAAAGTCAGTTTATTTTTTGATTCCTTGAAACTTTTCCAGATTCATTTGTAGTTTAAAGCAAGTAAGAAGGTATGGCATTATCTCAGAAATTTTACAGTCTCTTTTCCCTGGCTCTAAAATATTTTGTTCCATATTTCTTTTACTTTCTCTCAGTGCTGCCAAAGATGCCTCCCCCCACCCATTTAATGGCCAGGCAGTAGCAAAAGGAGCAAAAGTTTCTATAACTAAAGTGGATATAATTGGCAATGCATTTATTATTTTCTTTGCCACATATGACATTCTGGTGCTCTGGAACTGATTGATATACCTCAGTTGTCCGTGCTTCTGTACATTTTGTTCTTTGTTGATGTCTCATTTGTTTTTAAGCTATGTATTTATTATTGATGTTAAAACTTAAGATACCTAAAACAACTCATGTTTTATGAGTCTGCTCTTTGTTGTACATATCATGTATAGCAATATGCACTTTGCCCAAAATTACACTGATACAGCTTTCACTGTAGTTATCTGTGGTGAAGAACAAATGGAAATCAACATAGAAACACCAGCAGCAAAACAATGGGCATGATACTGGTTTATCACTAATGGATTAAATATTTATTTTGTAATAGATGAACTGTGACACTAATCCTTTGGAAGCAGGACTGGAATATTTTATAAAGCTAAACAAGGTATGTCTCCATTATTTTCAAAACTTTGTTACTTACGAGGTTTCTTCTAAACATATTTAAGTTTTCTATGATATACAAGTAAGTATAGATATTTGAAAATGAGTGAAACAAAGTTTGTCATTGTATTGTAAAGTAATTCTTATTAAGTGTTACTTTGCTGATAACAATGTTCTTCATATTTCTTGTTGACAAAATTATATATTAGAGTTTATACCATATTTCCTTACATACATTGCACCCCAAATATAGTACACACCTTGTTTTAGAAGGACAGAATGAAGAATAAAGATTTTTCCATAGTTATGGCTGCATAGAACAGGGACAGAGCCTAATCTCCAGGTCCTCACCCTTTCTTTCCTGAATAACTAAAGCTGAATCCCTAGCTGCTGCTAAAAACTGGTCTCTGTTGGTGGGTCTATAATGTTATAAAGCATTAAAGAGTCTGTGCTAACTAGATAAGGAGTCTGAGCTAAAGAAGCTATGAAACAGAGACACTGGGAACAGGTAGCAGACAGTAAAATTGCCCTAAGAAAGGTCAGCTTGATAAGGGGAAATCAAGACCATTAAAAAAGGATCTTATTAACACCTGTGGAGTGAAGAAAAATGAGTCATTAAGTCAATTAACTCCCTCAGCTGCCTAAACATCAAGACCACAACTGCTTTACAGTAGACCAGGAATCAAACTAAGGTGCTTCCAATCCCAGGTAGAAAATCAGAGTCCCTGCTTAAAACATGCACCCCAATTTTGTGGAGCTGATTTTTGTGGAAGAGGTTTGTGTTGTATGTGAGAAAATACAGTGTATATATACATTGTATATGTCTTATCTAAGGTTGTGTATGGGAGGCTTTAATATATTAAAAACAGCTCTTTCAGTAAAGTGGCTATTTTGAGAAACTTGGGTCTTGTATCTTTTTGGAAATATGTAGTATCTATATACCAGTGAACTGCAACATTTATATTATGGAAATATGGAAAAGTTTTAACCTGTCTGTTATTTAATTAAATGTTTGGTGCAGTATTCTGTCTTATCTCCCACTCAAAATTTATTGTATCAGAGTAAATACAGGCTTGAGGAAAGTTAGTTTAAAACAATTGCTCAGTGCAGACTTGAATATGAAGAATTAAACCCAAGAAGCTAAATGACTGTGTTCTTGTAAAACTTATTTATAAAGCTGCTGAAGAAGCTTCATCAGCAATCTGATTGCTGCCTAATTCTAAATCTAAGAAATGGGATTAGGTTAGGGTTGAAATCATGTCTGTATTTAAATGTAGATTACAACAGTTAATATAAACTGCCATACCTCCTTTTACTGGCATCATTGTCTTGTAATAATACATTGGTAATTTTTGTCCTTCATCAAACTCTATGCAAAGTCCTACATATATTTCCTTAGTCTCTGTCCCTCAGTTCCTCATCTGTAAACACTTCAATTCATGGAGAAATTGGGAAGATATATTAATTAAAGTTTGTAAAACAGTCAGAATCTACAGTGAATAAATTCCATAGAAAAATCAATGAAGAAATCTATATGAATCTGTTCTAAAGGCAGGACTGGATTATTCTGCAGTAAATAAGGCCTAGAGCTCAAATTGTATAATGAGGATAACATAAAATGTAAGCACAGTTCATTCCGTGCAGCAGACAAAGACAAAATCTTTTGGGTCTTCTGTTCTGACTTCCTGCATGGCGCAGGTCCCAAAATGCCTACATCTTCCTCAGTGCCTGGAGCTCTGCTGATTTCCTCATGTCAATGCTTGTTCCTTTGTGCAGTGGATTTATTGCCATGTGGATTGCATAACATAATTTTTCCCTAACTATAGAAAATGACAAATGAGAAGTAAACACACCGAGTCTATGCATAATATAATGCATTATTTATCCTTTACACATGGTCCTGCCATGTAAAACACAGCTGCTGTATGAGAATGAAGTGAAAAATAACGTACATTTGTTATAAGGGTTTTTTGTTTTCCATTTTAATTGCTGCTGCAGCTGTTTCTAGTATTATCAGGAATAGCAACCATAAACAGAGCTAAATTGTCACTTATCCATGATGCCTATGTAGGGGAGTAAGGGGGTATAAGGCACTCCTTATTTTTTTGTACATGTCACTTGTTTCACAAGCTCAGTGAAGAGGGTAGGATAGGGGTTAGAGACCCCTGACACACATGCCAGAATGTGGCACGCAAAGGCATTTTACTTGACATGCTCCTCGGGGCAAATGGCAGGGGAGGGGTTGGGGCTGTGCTGCCACAACAAGGATCAGACCCCTTGTAGCTCCCCTGCTGTCCACCTGGAGGCACACATGCAGCTACTGCTGGCAACAAGCCAGGCCGGGGCTCCACAGACCTCGATGCAGCTGCTTGCAGCCTCCCCATCACGTTTTGCGAGCAGCCTGGGCTCTGTGCTGGCTGGCAGGGGCTTGTCTAGAGCCTGGGCTAGCTGTGGCACGTGGCCAGAAAGTACAAGCTGCTGCACCACGGTCTGCAGAACTCCTGCTCGGTGCATTGGGCACCGAGTGCACATGTGCCTCTGGGCGGATGGCAGGGAAGGGGCCAGGGCTGGGCTGTCACGACTAGAACTGAGCACCTCGCAGTTACCTTGCTATCTACCTCTGGCACACTAACATCTTACAAGTTGAGGTTGGGGTGTTTTTGGCACTCCGGCTGAAAACGTTGCCTACCCTGGGATTGAACATTTTGTGAGATTGCTATTCCCTATTCCCTCTGCACAAATGGTCAGGGAACAGTTGGGCAGGGTGGATCTATGCCACTGCAAGCACAACTAGGAAATTTGGTGCCCTAGACAAGGGAGGGTGGGGGTGAGCCTTCATACAGGCTGCTGCCACTGTTGCCATGGCACAGGCTCCCTGCTACCATGGAGTGGGGTTCTTGAGGGCTGCCATTCAGGCATCTCCCCTCTAAAACATTCCAAGCCATTGTCCTTCCCACCCAACCCTAGTTATGCTACTGCACGTGCTTTATGGTGACCAACACAGCTGAACTGATTTGAAGGGATGTGTAAAGATTTGTATGCCAGATAAATAATTTGTGCAGATTATCACCCCTGCAGAGCAAGAGGGAATAAGAGACCCAGTTGTGATCATCATGGTTTCATGGTCTGCTCCTGGAGAGGGCAAGTATGAACCGCCCCATACTCAAGTCATAAGAACATAAGTACCATACTGAGTCAGACCAATAGTCCATCCAGCCCAGTGTGCTGTCTCCAATCATGGCAAATAATAGATCATTTAGAGAGAGAATATGTGTACAAGGCATATCTAGAGTGATCCATCCTCTACCCTTCCCACATCAATCATCATTGTATTAGGGATGTCAAAGGATACATAACTGATTTGTTCTTTCTAATAGCTCTCATGGACATGTCCTCCATGAATTGGTCTAAAATCTTTTTGAACCTGGTTCTACTGTATCTACAGCCTCCTGTGGCAACAAGTTCTATAAGTTAACTACGTACTGAGCACATCTGCATGAGAAGCTTTACGGTGCAATAGAGCTAATTACTGCATAATAAATGTCACCATTTACATGTGGTGGTCCTTATTGCTGAGTAATTTGCTCTACACACCTGCAAATGCAAGTAGCAAATTAACTGCTGAGTAATTACTGCACAGTATGGCACATGTAGGTGGCTGACCAGAAGCAAATTTGCTCCTGGTCAGCCAGGCAGCAGGGGAGCAAGAGATTGCTCTCTGCCCCTGGGAGATGCCTGCTGCCAAGGTGAGCTTTGTCATCGGAGCCCAAGCAGAGGCAATGTCTCTCTGCTCTGGTACCAGGGAGCTCCCAGGCCCCAAATGCATGGCAGGGAAGATCAGAGGGGATGGGATTTAATAGGTGTGAGACAGGTAGGTGGTGGTGGGGAAGAGGGAAATGTTGATCAGCGATAGAATAACATAACAATTCCCTATTCACTTTATCTTCACCTTTTGTAATTTTATAAATTTCTGTATCGGGTGTGGCCAACCTGTGGCTCTGGAGCCACGTGCGGCTCTTCAGCAGTTAATATGCATCTCCTTGAATCTTTGCACACACACAGTGACCACCTTCTAAATGGAAGCTTGTGGAAAGAATGCCAGCTTCCAAATAGAAGCTGATCATCATGTTCTTGTGCAAAAATTCAAGGAGATGCATATTAACTTCTGAAGAGCCGCATGTAGCTCTGGAGCCGCAGGTTGCCCACCACTGTTCTATATCTTCCTTAGCTTTCTTTCCAAAATGAAGAGTCCTGGCCTTTTTAGTTGCTTTTGGTATGGCAATTGCTCCATACCTCTGATCATTGTTGTTGCCTTGTCTGTTATCTTTTCTAATTCTACTATATCCTTTTAGAGATGTGGAGACCTCTGCACACAGTATGCAACATGTGGATGCACCAGGGATTTATATAGTAGCATAATGATGTTTTCCACTTTGTTTTCAATCTCCTTCTTAACGATGCCCAGCATTTTATTGACTTTTATGGTTGCCACTGTGGACTGAGCCAAAGTGTGTGGGTTTTTTGTGTTTTTTTTTAAAGAAAACTATCCACAGTGACTCTAAGGCCTCTTTCCTAAGTCATAACAGTGATTTCAGAGGCCAGCACTGTGAATGCTATGGTTGAGATTATTTTTCCCTATGTGCATTACTCATGCATTTGTCAACACTGAAGTTCACTTCTCACTTTATTGCCTCTGCCTATCTCACTCTGTTTTGTGAGATTTTTCTGTACCTCTTTACCATCAGCCTGGAATTTAACTATCCCAAATAATATAGCGTCATCTGTAAACTTTGAGATTACACTGCCCACTCCCTTTTCTAGGTCATTTATGAAGAAATTGAGCAAAACAGTGCCCAGCACAAATCTCTGAAAGACTTGACTCTTGACCTGCTTCTGTACTGAAAAATGACCATTAAGCCGTACCCTTTGTTTCTTATCTTTAACCAACTTTCAATCCATGAAAGGCGCTTTACTTCCAATCCCATGGCAACTTTTTTTAAATAG